ATAAACTAGTGGTATTACTAGTGGTAATTGTCACAATCACAGTCACCAGTCCAGTCACTATCTTTAGTCACTAGCCCAGTTCACTTGGAACTATATTTCCCAAGCATCCCTTCTGTTTAACACCTGCACACAGTCAGCCATCTCCACACCTTCCACAGATAATCATCAAATCCTAATCAAGTCTTACATAGAAGCAGTCACTCTCCATTTCCCCCTTGTCTGGTCTCATTGTTCCTATCTAAGGACTTTGGCAAAATGGTTATCCTCTGGAGCAGTATGTGATGGAATTTTTTGAGTTTTCCCATCTGGTGAGTTGGAGCAACACTACTCTCAATGCCTGCCTTTAGATGGGACTTGATAATGAGGTAATTCATTTCCTGTCTCCATGTCATTGTGATTCACCCTTAGTTGATTCCATTAATTTCATCCTCTGGCTAAATTATTATGATTGACATGGTGCAAGAAATTAAAGGCCACTTCAGTCACAGAATCCACTCTTGAGTGTCAGCCCAATCCACAGGTGTCACGATTCACTGCTGGAAGGAACGATGGAGATGTGGATAACATAAACGGTATTTAATGAGAGAATCACAGGGGTAAATCCACAACAGGAACAGGGGTAAACACACGTAATCCAACAAGTAGACCCGACAAAGACAGAACACAAAGGCTGGAACTTAAATACATGGGGTAATTAGAACTAAACAACAAGGCACACCTGAATCAAATGAACCATCAAGGAGAAGGAGAAACTGGGTCAAGGAGCACATGTGGAGGGAAAACACACACAAAACAGTCCATGGGCGCGACATTACTCCCCCTCCCAGAAGGTGCGTCCCTTGCCATAACAATTCTGTATAGATGGTGGGCTGAGGGCAAGCAGAGGGGCTGCCAGACGACAGCGGAGGGGCTGCCCTTGGGGACAGAAGCCCATTCCTGGCTAGGCTTGGGAACAGGAGCCCTCTCTGGGCTCGACGAGGAAACAGGAGCCCTCCCTGGGCAGGTGGTGGGAAACGCAGCCCTCTCTGGGCTGAATGTGGGAACAGGGGTGACAGACAGGGCCGCATTTTTTATATAAAAAAAATATATTTTAAAATACAGAAACAAAATCGTTTTAAGTATTGAAGGAGATCCAATAATAATTGAATATATATTTACAGTAGTAACAGCAAATTATATTTTATTATATGATATGATTAATATCACGTTTTTAAATATGATGGTTTCATTCTAAACATGGTGATTATCTCTAATATGGAC